AAAAAAAAAAAAAAAAAAAAAAAAAAATGTAGATGTCAAAAACTCTAGCAAAACATGCAAAGCTACAATAATGGCAGACATAATAAAAAAGTTATAGTGAATGGTAAAATGTATTTATATGTGTTGTTGTCATTATAACGGCCTCATAAAGTAGCTGACAGTGGATGAGAGGAACTACACAGCCCTGAAGAACAAAGCTAAGGGATTAATGCCAACAAACACAGAGCAAAGCATCAGCACTGCACAGCATGACAGGACACGTCCACAAACCCTCAGCGCGTACACAGTAATTAACAGACTCTGCAGGACGCGCTAAATGTTTATGTTTGTGTTTTGCAGCTTTGTAAGACAAAAGAACCAACCTTTCATTTCCTTTATCATCCAGAGTGGGCAGTCTGCAAAAGAACACACAGAAAATGCAACTCAACAAGGAGGAGAAATTAACATGACAAAGATAGTTATGTGCATAGACTCAGATAAACTGTGCTGAGAAAAAAATGAATATGAATCAGAGCTAAAAATCAGTAATAAATACATTGAATTATTTATTGTATTTAATTGTAATTTCTAAGAGATTCCAGTCAAGGATAAGCATGATGCTGTAATATTGCAAGTATTCTGAAAGCAAGATAAAATGGCGTTCAAAATAAATCTATAAAGTGCCACTACTAGAACTGAAATTAGCTCTGAGGCTTAACAAAACTAAATTGTCCTTGAAAAGTCAACAGGAATATAAATATGAGCTTTTCTGCTGCCTGAAGGCATTAGCTGCAGTCGAAGCTCTTAAGCTCTGTCCTTTCAGAAAATACTGTAGCACATCTACAGCCATTAGATAAATATTTATTCAGTGTTATTCAATGATGGCTTTGTAGTTAAGCTAGGACTCAACATGTCAATTTAAGAGAGGCTGTTTTGGAGATTTTAAGTCTTACTGCAACATGTTTAGCCTTAACCAGTTTCCATTTTGACCTTTATTACCTTTTCTAAGTGATTGTTTTAATGGGAATGTACTGTGAACTGTCAATCCACATGAGGGAGAACCGTAGAAAGCAGATGACGCATGCGGTTCCAGGAAGGTGATTTTTAGACACCATACTGAGAGATGTAATTAACCACCGTGTGCCATTATAAAATGACTGACATTATTAAAACTGTGACATAGGATTTGTAGAGAGGTGCTAAGCTTGACAATATGTCATATATATATATATATATATATGTAATTATTATATTTAACCCTCTGGGGTCTGAGGGGGTTTTGGGGCCCTGGAGAACTTCAATAAAATTGTAAATACAATTAAAATTTAAATATTAATAATAATTTAAATATTGCATTTAAATATAATTAAATATATTTAATTTATATTTAAATTTTACATTAAATATAAAACATATTACAACTTAACCAATATATGAAATACTGTTTTAATATTACTTTTAATAATTATTAAATTATATTTTATTATTACCAAGAACTGCTTAAAACCTAACCTTTTTTGTTGATTTTGATTGCTTCTATTGTCATCATTTGTATGTCGCTTTGTATAAAAGCATCTGCTAAATGACTAAATGTAAACGTAAATGTAAACATTTGTGATGTTGCAAAGTAGTAAATGTTTACAGAAACAACAACAAAATATTTATGTATTTGTTCATTTATTTACTACTTCTAAAATAGCGACAGCTAACTTCGCTATGTTGAATTGTAGATTTTTGTTTAGGACATGAAATGTTGACATTTCAAGCTGTTAAAGTCATTTATCTGGGCAGATAAACAGTTGTATGATAAATGATTGAGAAAAGAAACGTTGATACTCTCACCACCTTGTTTTTAAAAACAAACTTAAAGAATTACAAAAATTCTAACCCATGCATTTTGGCAGTTATTTACAAAACATTATTAGCATGTTACATAAACTGTGTATGATTCCTTAAAATAAAACAAAATATCAGACAAAAATAAACAGAAACAGTAAATGTTTACAAGCAACAACTATCAGAGATCAAAGACTATTTAGCTTATCTATTACTTACTACAAATATCTTATTTACGCTGTTTTGGGCATGACATGTTGAGATCAGCAGCTGTGAGAGTCATTCATGTGGGCATTTCTCTGATAAATGATTCAGATAAAAGAGAGGTTTTCTTGCCATGGCGCCTGAGATACAGTACTCTCTGATCATCAGCCAGAAGCGTCGTATCCAACATGAACAATCACACGTAAAGACCATTTCCTTTCCAATTAGACAACACCCAGTTAATACAGTAAATTTTGGTACTGGTAGTATAAACATTTGCTTTTTGGAGACCCACATTTAGCCTGCTTGAAAACCAGATGACTGTTCAAGGAGATATTTTGTGCTGTAAGGCTTTGTAGTCTATTTTTAGACATAACATACATTTTGCTTAACCCTCAGCTTACTGGGCACACATACCATGCAAGCTATTTGAATACTGGAGATGGTTCTCATAGAGAGAATGTGCTCATGGTGAGAAGATAAGTGCTCAAATAACTCATAGATAATTCATCTTATGTCATTCTGTAGGATTCAGGTGTCCTTCGGGTTCAGATACTTTAAGCATGTATTTAAACACATAAGCAAATGCTTGGCCTATGCATTGTGGTTGTAGGAACAAACTTCAATACTCAAGAGGTGCTAGAGCTGCTTTAAAATGTCTGCGCATTAAACTAAATACATCATTATTCAAGTTTAACTCATTTAAAGAGCATTTACTGTTTGAAACTGTAAAGCTGCTTTGACACAATCTGTATTGTATAAAGCGCTATATAAATAAAGGTGACTTGCCTTGATTTGTTTCGGGTCTGAGACGGTAATTCGATTCAGGCGGTTTAAAAGGGTAACCTTTTCATTTCAATGACTGCTTCCAAATCATGCTTCTATCTTACAGATATGAACATCTACTTTATATTTTAATCTAAAGCACTTTAAGTGTCTGTCTAATCCCATTGTTATCATAAGTGGCCCCTTTGATTTGGGTTCATTTGGTTGGTTGTTGCCAGGATGGACTGGCACTTGAACAAACACCCTTCTGTATTGTGCTTGACCCTGGACGCGTCTCTTAAAAGCATGAGCGAACATCAAAACACAAGCCCCAAATCAACACTGTAATCACTAATAGCCTGTATGAGAGCATGAACTGATGAACAGGTGACTAATTTGTGAAAAGGACTTGATATGATGGTGGATGGGAACATCACAGCCTCTGTTTGACCCCTGAAGGTCAGATGAGTGTGACGTATAGAGGGTGAGGGAAGGGTTTCTAGTGCTCATCAACAGAGGCAACAGTGTATTCCTGAAATGGCCCTGTTGCCCTTTATCTGCTGACATTTGAGCCATTATGGGATGCACTGGCACATTATGACCTTTTTATTGCAGTGATCTTTTTAAAGGTGATCTGTTACTGTTCCATTTCGACCACATTGGTGAAATGTGCAGCTTATTTTCAATAAATGCTAATTTTCTCTGGCCTAGTGAGGAAGTTTTGAGCTCTGAAAGAGCTTGTTTTCATAGGACATTGAACACTGTCAAAATAAAGGAAATCTGATTCCTCATTATGACTCCAATAAATCCTGTTTCCAAAATTCTTCTGGTTTTCCCCCAAAATCAATGTTGATTCTTTCTGGGTAAACCAATGGCTCACAAAATTGGGAATCAATACCAGTGGCAGTCCAATTACTCCTTTATAGGGTCCTGCTGTGTTTTCCACAAGCCTGAAACTGAACAACCACATTATTTCAGATATTCTTTGAAACATTAAGAGAAGCTGGTAACACGATAATCAACTTTATATTACCTAGAGACTGAGCATAATAGAGACCCACTTTACTGACCCTTATGAAATTTTTCTTTATATAATAGTGACTCTGAAAATTACCAATCCCCAAAACATCCACAGTATCATTAAAGCAATTTCAAGCTCCTTATGAAAGGCATTACTCGTTACAATGTATTTTCTGCACACAGTGCTCTTATTCAGAGAGCTCTCATGGACAAATGGGATTCAGTCCTGTCAACACAGCAATCACTTCAACCAGGCCTGGGTATGAAATTAGGGTGACTACTTCTGCCATCGATTAGAGCTTTTCAATTAACAGCAAATTCACATCTTGCATCCTTTCCACCACAACCCTGTGTTCAACGGGGAAAGACAGGCGAGGAGGAAATAAACATTTGAAGAGTGATAATTATCTTATGACACATGCTGTCATTCAGCGCTTCAATGGGATGGTGACGCATGTATAATTCTGTCGTGCAACACAACATTTATTTGCGTTAAAGCCCGTTTTCTCAACAAAAATTGTTCCAAAATTTTTCAACATTTCTTTGAATTGTCAGCACAGAATTTACCGTTACAGTTAAAAAAAAAAAAGATTTTGTTGACACTTGCAAAATGTTAGCAATAATTAGCATTTCCATCAGCTACATCAGTAAACATTTTGATGTGCTAAACTAGAAAAATGGGAATTTGTCTATTGTTTATGGAAGCCTACTTCCGCCACTGAATACAAAATAAAACAAGGTTGCGACTTTTTATCTCACAATTCTTTTTTTTTTCCTCGCAATTGACTTTTTTCTCAGAACTGAGAGATTATATCTCGCAACTTTGAGAAAAAAAGTTTATGCGAGTTTATAGAAAGAAAATCAGAACTGCAAGATATAAACAATTGTATCTCGCAATTCTGGCTTACTTTCTTGCAATTCTGACTTTTTTATCAGAATTGCGAGTTTATATCTCACAATTCCTTTTCTCGCAATTCTGACTTTTTTATAAACTTTTATAGATATAAACTCACAATTCTGACTTTTTCTCACAATTCTGACTTTTATAAACTTTTATAGATATAAACTCACAATTCTGACTTTTTCTCACAATTCTGACTTTTATAAACTTTTATAGATATAAACTCACAATTCTGACTTTTTCTCACAATTCTGACTTTTATAAACTTTTATAGATATAAACTCACAATTCTGACTTTTTCTCATAATTCTGACTTTTATAAACTTTTATAGATATAAACTCACAATTCTAACTTTTTCTCACAATTCTGACTTTTATAAACTTTTATAGATATAAACTCACAATTCTGACTTTTTCTCACAATTCTGACTTTTTTCTCTGATGTAAACTCACAATTCTGACTTTTTCTCACAATTCTGACTTTTTTCTCTCAATTCTGACTTTTTTCTCAGAATTGTGAGTTTATATCCCATAATTCTGACTTTATAACATGCAGTTAAGTGTGAGTTATTAAGGCAGAATTGTGAGATATAAACTCGCAATTGTAAGGAATTTTTTTTATCTTCTTTTCCCCAGAATTGGACATTATAACTGACAATTGTAACTTCAGAATTGTGAGAAAAAAGTCAGAATTGCGAGTTAGCAGTTAGTTTTTAGCTGAATTATTGTCAAGGCTCATTCACACTAAAAGCGATAAGTATTATGAAACCATATTAGTGTCCACACCAACAGACTATAACGTTCAGATTGTTATAAGCAAACGCTGCAGTTTTGTTTGTTTAAATGCTTGAGCTCTTTGAAGTCAGGTGGATTCTGATTAGCTGTCACGTTTTTAACATTCATCAGCTGGAAAAACATCATTCTGAAAGTGATTACAACAATATTGTTCCTCATGTCATTATTGTTGTAGTTTGGACTTCCCTATTCTCACAGAATTAGACTCCTTATTATAATTTCAAATTACAATTATCGTCTTTGGTGTGAATGGGCCTTTAGTCTCCAACACTATCAACCACTCCAGATGTTATGCTGAACTCAATGTTTCATGACCATCAAAAAATGCATTCTGCATTCTCACCTGTTCCATATAACAGTGCCAGAGATCTTCTGCATTTCACCCAGTGCAGCCAACAACAGAGATGATTTCCCACAACCCACCTGGCCCACTATCACAGTTAACTGACCTGCAGAGAGAATCAATCAAGAATCAAGATAAATGGGTTTCATGGAGCAAAAAATCATGTTAAAATAATTAGGGATGCACGATATTGGATTTTTGCCGATATGCCGATATTTTTCAACTCATTTTAGTCGATATATTTCCTTTTGTCCACCAAATCTCTCCTGTGCAGAAATTATAAACAAATTATTTTTAAATTTTGGTTAGTTTTGAACAAGAACTTATTTGTTAGAATTAAATAAACAATAATTAAGTTATTTTATAATGCCAGTACATTGAAGATTTGAAAATAACTATAAATAAACTATATTAAATCGCTGCAAAAAGATGCAGTGGCAACCTTAACATTTTATTTTAAGATTTAACACTTGTAAATGGTCTAAAGCAAAAAAGTTGTAAAAATTCTGAAAATCTTTTAGAGCTCATAATTTGCTTAAAAAGTATTACACATTAATGAATAAATCAGTATATATACAATTATTTAATTTAAGTGTCATGTTTGTGATTTTTGGTTGTTGTTGTTGTTTATGTAAGCTATAGATTCTGACCTTTAAATCAAAACATACTCATGATTTTATGGCATCAATTACTGCTTTATTTAATCAGAAACACAGTCTAAATATAATTTTGTGTATTTTGCTTTAATTTTATTAGAAGTAGGCCAACAGCGCCCCCTACAGATTAAAACTCCTTACTAAGCCGGCATTAGGACCCGGGGGAGGCTATCATACACGAGCGCGTCATTCATTTACATTTAAACCCATTATCGGCCGATTCCTATATTGGTGTGATAATATGGTGCATCCCTATTATGAAATATTACAATCTGAAATAACTTTTCTTTTTAATACATCTCACATGATCTTTCGAAAATCATTCTAATATGCTGATTTGCTGCTTATTCATATTACTATTCATTTTAAATACAAAAAAAAGTTAATGTTTTTGCTGCTTAATATTTTGTGTAAACATTTTTCTGTATTCTTTGATGAATAGTAAGTTCAAAAGAACAGTTTTTAAAATAATAGAAAGAGGCCAACAGCGCCCCCTACGGAATTAAAACTCCTTACTGAGCGAGCTTTAGGACCCGGGGGAGGCTGCCGCTGCTGCCGCTGCTGCCGCTGCACATGTATTCCTCTTATCGGCAAGACATATCGGCATAATTTTTCATATCGGGCCGATCCAGATATTGGTCCGATAATATCGTGCATCCCTAAAAATAATAGTTCACCTGAAATGAAAAATCTGTGTTTTTCAAATAACAATTTAGGGCCCTATTTTAACGATCTAAGCGCATGGTCTAAAGCGCAAGGCACAGGTGCACTTAGGGCGTGTCTGAATCCACTTCTGCTAATTTAACGACGGGGAAAACGGTTCGGCGCACCCAATGCATGGTCTAAAAGGGTTGTTTACCAAAAGAAGTCCAATTAGGCGGGAACGCGGGAACCCACCCAATCTGGCAACACTGTGGGCACGGCGCAGGTGCACTTAGGGCGTGTCCAAATCCACTTTTGCTAGTTTAACGACAGGAAAAACAGTCGGCGCGCCCCGCGCATGGTCTAAAAAGGTTGCCCTATTCTTTTAATGAGTAATGGGTGTGTTTTGGGCATAATGTGCAATAAACCAATCAGAGTCTCAATTCCCATTCCCTTTAAGAGCCTGTTGCGCTCTGTTGGATTCACTATTTACATGGCGGAATTTGCAAGCGCAAAGACTAAACGCGTCTCCAGAGAGGAAACGGAGCTGCTCGTGCACGAGCAAATAGGTAGGCGAATTCTGATACATGCAATGACTATCCATTAAGACATGTAGGCATTTTTATATTTATGTAGCCTACACAATAATAATCTTTTACATTGTAATCCTTTAATTTTTATTATTTGGCATGTTTGTGTGCTGCTTCTCTGTGTGTGTAATAAGCAGAGTGTGCTGTGGACCCGCCTATAGGCGCATATTTCTAATGTGCTCTTTAAATAACAAAAAAAACCTACTGCGCCATTGACTTTAGACCAGGTTTTAGTTGGTCAATGGTGCAGTCTATTTCAGTTGCCTCAAAATAGCAACGCGCCAACAATGCGCCTGAACACACCTCGTTTTCAGACCAGCACGCCCATGATGGGCGTGGGAAACAGATGGGCGCAAAGGAATTTGCTATTTAGACAACATGGTGTAGGACGTGAAAATGATAACTGCATCGGGCTGAAACTAGCAAAAAACACTTGCGTCGCGCCTGGCGCTGCATTGTGCCGGGTGTATGATAGGGCCCTTAAATTTCAATCTTTTCTACACACAAAATGATTATTTGGCTTTAGAATATATCACACAAGTCATACTCTATGGGCTACATTTATGATACTTCATGTCCTTTTGGAGCTTAACAGCATAAGCAACCATCAACATTTTTATTGTAAGGAAAAGAGCAGCCTGTGCATTCTTTAAAATGTCTCCTATTGTTTTCCACGTAAACAAGGAAATCACATGGGTTTGGAATGTAACTAGATTTTTTCATTTATGGGTGAACTATATGTTTTAAGTTAGTAGATGGGATCAGGAAATACCACAAGCCACATTCAAAGCAACATGAGTGCCACCTCCAGTATGTGTAGATGTATTTTTGATAGGACTTACCAAAAGGAATCTTAATATTCACATTGGACAAGGTTGGGGTTCCATCAGTCCAGCTGAAATATCCATTTGTGATCTGGAATGGATATAAAGGAGGACGACTGTTATTCTCATTCATAATGGGCGCTCAGTTTCCTGTTTACTGCCTGAGAACAGAAATAACCTGCATAGTCTCACCTTGATGCAGATATCTTCATCCTCCACTGCCAGCGGCTCATCCTCCTGCTCGCTCTGAAGGGCGAAGCTGTTCCAGTCGTCTCTGACGGGTCGCTTGCGGTTCACCACCTTCAGAGGCTTTATCAGAGGTGAGAAAAACAACATCAAATCTGATCAAGCTCGGCGTGAACAGCCTCTTTAACAGTGCTAACCTCTCCATGCCGACCGGTACTGTGATATTACAAACATAAATAATGTATAGACACAGTCATGAATACAAATAACACAATACTGCGATCCCTATGGCTGGATTAGTGAAAGTGTGGCAGCATAAGCCTTAAGGCCTATTCATATCAAAAACTAGAATTTGACTTTTAATCAAAATAATGCATTTCTGTGGGCATATTCATATATGAAAATGTATCCACAGCTTTTTTCCATATAATAATAATAATAATAACAAAAATTCAGACTAGATGTCAGACCATTCCATGAAAAAAAAAAAAGATCATTACAGAAAAAAAATACTATTCCTATAAAGAATGAATCTAATTTCAGACATAAGGTCACTATTTATTTATTTATTTATTAATTAAAATAAACAATTACAGACAAAAGGACACATTTTAATTAATGTGTTTATTGAATAAATAAATTGTTTAATAATTTGTCTTATTCACTTTAATAATAAAATTTCAGATGATAGGCACTTTTCATTCATTCATTCATTCATTCATTCATTCATTCATTCAGTCAGTCATTCACTCACGTCAAGAATGAAACAAATTTCACATAAAAGGTCACATTTCAATTAATTAATGTATATACAGTATGTATTTATTGAATAAATAAATTAATGATTCAATACATTATTTTAATATATTTTATATTATTTTAATAGTGTATACTGTGTATATTTATTATGTATATATAAATACAAACACATGCATGTATATATTTAAGAAAAATATGTTATGTTTACAGGTGCATCTCAAAAAATTCGAATATTGTGAAAAAGTTCATTTTCTTTGTAACTTATTTCAAAAAGTGAAACTTTCATATATTCTAGATTCTTTACATGTAAAGTAAAACATTTCAAAAGATTTTTTTGTTTTAAATTTGATGATTAGAGCTTACAGCTCATGAAAGTCCAAAATCCAGTATCTCAAAATATTAGAATATTTCCTAAAATCAATCAAAAAAAGGATTTGCAAATAAGAAAAGTTCAAATACTTTAAAGTATGTTCATTTATCCACTCAATACTTGGTCGGGGCTCCTTTGGCACAAACTCCAGGATCAGTGAGGTGTGGCATGAAAGCGATCAGCCTGTGGCACTGCTGAGGCACTATTGAGCCTTCAGCTCATCTGGATTGTTGGATCAACTGTTTTTCATCTTTCTCTTGAAAATATCCCATATATTCCATATGGAGTTCAGGTCAGGCATGTTGGCTGGCCAATCAAGCACAGTAATATGGTCAGCAAACCACTTGGAAGTGGTTTTGGCACTGTGGGCAGGTGCTAAAGTCTAAGGAAAGTAAAAGGAAATCAGCATCTCCATAAAGCTTGTCAGCACATGGAAGCATAAAGTGCTCCAAAATCTCCTGGTAGACGGCTGCATTGACTTTGGACTTGATAAAACACAATGGAGCAACACCAGCAGACGTCACAGCACCCCAAATCATCACTGACTTCGGAAACTTCACACTGGACTTCAGACAGCTTGGATTCTGTGCCTCTCTAGTCTTCCTCCAGACTCCAGACCTTGATTTCCAAATGAAATGCAAAATTTACTTTTATCTGAAAAGAGGACTTTGGACCACTGAGCAACAGTCCAGTTCTTTTTCTCCTTAGCCCAGGTAAGATGCTTCTGACATTGTTTCTGTTTCAGAAGTGGCTTGGTAGCCCTTTTATTGAAGTCGTCTGAGCGTGGTGACTCTTGGGCTACGTTCACACTGCAGGCAAATGTGGCTCAAATCTGATTTTTTTGCTCACATGTGACTCAGATCTGTTTTTGTCACGACAGTGTGAACAGCACAAACCGCATGGAATCTGATCTTTTCAATTCTGATTTGTGCCACTTCCACTTGGTACTAAATCTGATCCATGTCAGATGTTTTGCAATGCGACCGCAGTGTGAACGGTCATGTCGGATTTCATGCGGCTTTTACGTCACTCTAGATCAACATTCGTCATAATTCCACGCTAACGGGAAACACTTCAAAGATTTTACATACCCAAAAAGTTATCAAGAAAGTAGCTAAAGGTAATCAGTGGAAGTGTGATGTGTCAGAACTCATGTGTATTAACAGTGACAACTCTACAAGCAAAACATGAGGGCTCGTATCATAAAAGTTTCAAAACTCTGCTTCCATTTGTCACATCCTTGTCTTTATTTTTCATATTGCCTGTGCATAATTTCGCTGGCTTCTGCAGCAGATCACACTATAAATAAACGCATAATCGCTTAATTTATATCCATGTTTACTTCCGTATGACGGCGCGCTACGCAAGTGTTGCCAAATCCACATTTTCCCCGCGGAATTGGGCTACTTTTTCCTCTGTTGCCGCGGGATGTTTTTCAACTTTGTGGGTTGACACTAACGCGATGTTTACCTTCCTGAACATGATTGGGCAAGTTTTGGACTAGTTTTGAGAAAGAATTGGGTGGATTTTGTTGTGAAAATCTGGAAACCCTGTTCGTATCGTTCTTTTGCGCATGCGGGTCAGTTCAGAATCATGATCTGTTCACACTGGAAATATGATATTGGCCACATTTAAAACAACAATGTGAACAGCTATACAAAAAAAATCGGATCTGAGAAAAAATCGGAATTGAGCGCTAAGGCTCGCAGTGTGAACGTAGCCTTGATGCAATGACTCCAGCTTCAGTCCACTCCTTGTGAAGCTCTCCCAAGTGTTTGAATCGGCTTTGCTTGACAGTATTCTCAAGGTCATCCCTGTTGCTTGTGCAGCTTTTCCTACCCAATTTCTTCCTTCCAGTCAACTTTGAATTTAATATGCTTTGATACAGCACTCTGTGAACAGCCACCCCTTTCAGTAATGACCTTCTGTGTCAATGATTGTCTTCTGGATCATTGCCAAGTCAGTAGTCTTCCCCATTATTGTGGTTTCAAAGAACAAGAGATACCCGGAATTTAAACTGTAGGGATGGTCATTTAATGAAACTCAAATGTAAATATTCTAATATTTTGAGATACTGGATTTTTGACTTTCATGAGCTGAAAGCTCTAATCATCAAAATTAAAACAAAAAACTTTTGAAATGTTTTACTTTACATGTAAATAATCTAGAATATAATATGAAAGTACAAAAGTACTTATTCAAACTTTTTGAAATAAGTTCCAAAAAAATTAACTTTTTCATGATATTCAAATTTTTTTTAGATGCATCTGTATATATTCAATATATTTTTATATAATATAAAATATAAGAATATGAATATATAAATGTATAAACGTGTAAATATTTTCAAAATATATACTAGATGTGTGTGTATTTATTTATACATAATAAATATACACAGTACACATACATATATAATGTAAACAAAAACTTTTATTTTGGATGCGATTAATCACGATTAATCATTTGACAGCACTAATTTTTATGTAAATAATTGTAAGTAATTGATTATATATTTGATTGTTTGTTTGTTTTAAATGTATTTATTCACATCAATTGCAGATACAAGGTCACTTTTTAATTTATTATTATTGAATGAATAAAAACAATGTATTTATTATTAAATTATTTATTTGATTAATAATAAATAATGTACTTGATTCATTTTTAACAATTTTTTCTACACTGCTCAACAAAATTAAAGGAACACTTTTTAACAAGATTATAGCATCAAGTCAATTGAACTCCTGGGATATTAATCTGGTCCGTTAAGTAGCAGAGTGGGTTGTTAATCAGAGAGACGACCCCCAAAACAGGAATGGTTTTACAGGTGGAGGCCACTGACATTTTTCCCCTACTCATGTTTTCTGACTGTTTTTCACTAGTTTTGCATTTGGCTAGGATCAGTGTCACTACTGGATGCATGAGGCGATACCTGGACCCTACAGAGGTTGCACAGGCAGTCCAACTTCTCCAGGATGGCACATCAATACGTGCCATTGCCAGAAGGTCGCCCAGCACAGTCTCAAGAGCATGGAGGAGATTCCAGGAGACAGGCAGTTACTCTAGGAGAGCTGGACAGGGCCGTAGAAGGTTCTTAACCCATCAGCAGGACCGGTATCTGCTCCTTTGTGCAAGGAGGAACAGGATGAGCACTGCCAGAGCCCTACAAAATGACCTCCAGCAGGCCACTGGTGTGAATGTCTCTGACCAAACAATCAGAAACAGACTTCATGAGGGTGGCCTGAGGTCCCGACGTCCTCTAGTGGGCCCTGTGCTCATTGCCCGGCACCGTGAAGCTCGATTGACATTAGCCATTGAACACCAGAATTGGCAGTTTCGCCACTGGCACCCAGTGCTTTTCACAGATGAGAGCAGGTTCACCCTGAGCACATGTGACAGATGTGAAAGGGTCTGGAGAAGCCATGGAGAACGTTACGCTGCCTGTAACATCGATCAGCATGATCGGTTTGGTGGTGGGTCAGTGATGGTCTGGGGAGGCATATCCATGGAGGGGCGCACAGACCTCTACAGGCTAGACAATGCCACCCTGACTGCCATTAGGTATCGGAGATGAAATCCTTGGACCTATTGTCAGACCCTTTACTGGTGCAGTGGGTCCTGGGTTCCTCCTGGTGCATGACAATTCCCAGCCTCATGTGGCGAGAGTATGCAGACAGTTCCTGGAGGATGAAGGAATTGATACCATTGAATGGCCCCCACGCTCGCCTGACCTAAATCCAATAGAACACCTCTGGGACATTATGTTTCGCTGCCAGGTTGCACTTCAGACTGTCCAGGAGCTCAGTGATGCCCTGGCCCAGATCTGGGAGGAAACAACGCAGGACACCATCCGTTGTCTCATTAGGAGCATGCCCCGACGTTGTCAGGCATGCATACAAGCACGTGGGGGCCATACAAACTACGGAGTACCAATTTGAGTTGCTGCAATGAAATTTCAGCAAAATGGACTAGTCTGCTGCATCATTTTTTCACTTTGATTTTCGGGGTGTCTTTGAATTCAGCCCTCTGTAGCTTGATCATTTTCATTTCCATCAAACGATGTGGCATCCTTTCGTTCCTAACACATTACTCAGTCCATATCAGTATATATATCCAGCGTGATATTCTTCCCCATTGAGATCTGATGTGTTTTCAAAGTGTTCCTTTAATTTTGTGCGCATTATATTTATTATACACATCAAGATTTTTTTAAAGGTCACATTTCCATTCATGCATTTTTTTATTGAATAAATACATTATTTTCATTAATTTAATAAAGACATAAAAAAACTACTTTCGGGTCATGGTGTTACATTTCATCTGCCATTTCTTTCATTCTTGATGTGAATAAATGTTTACGGTGAACTGACTTCACTTACCAGGGCTTGATACTTGTTGTGATTGCTTGAATTGGGCAGGACAGTCGCTCTGGGCTCCTGTTCACCTCCAATCTCGTCACAGGAGAAAAACTCGCTGAGCTTCTGAACACTGGCCAGAAGAAAACAATACAGTATGTCATTCCATATTCAATCACTACAACTGGACTTTCTACTTATATGCCAATTACTTGCTCAAATATCAAGAAATAACTCCAGTTTGGTGGCATTGTGACATCCTTCCTAGAAAATAAAACAGGACTAAAGTATATACCTCTCTGTAACCAATAATATCACACACCGAGTTATGCAATTATCACAGTATAGCTCTATTCACTGAAAGGAAATCATACTTTGTGAGAAAACCTGCTCTGTCTATTGCTCGCCATTCAATTCCAGTCTGAAATACTACCACGGCCCAACATGCAGAAGATAAATCCGGAGAGAAACAAGACTTAGAGACGTCAGACAGATGCATTTTATTCTCTAGTCTAGAGTGTTTTGTTGCAAATAGATACTGTAAAGTCACTGGAAACAGCTGATGCTATCATGAAAAATGTTGATCACGAGTGGCCAGTCGATTTCCTTCATGTCATATATTGAGAGCGGTGGCACATGTGGCGTGTTTTCCAGGCAGCACTGATCTATGACCTGCTTGTTAACTATAAATACAGCCTTCCCTCTCTAAATGTGTTCCACATGGCTGGGTTGATGAGACTGAACCTGAGGCTCACAGACAGACATTTCTTCTTCACAGGAGAGTGCATCTGCGATGAGAAGAGAAGAAGCGCACGGCTGATGTGACGTGATTTACCACACATTGACATGAGACACACATGGGGACGATTCATTATATCCCTGGGTGGTTATTTAAAACCTGTAAATCCTGAACCTGCGTTGTTGGCTGTAAATCACTGTCATATGCAGAGCGACTGTTTAAGCCGCTGATTAAGTCGTAAATTGTACCATGTAATTGGTGCAGCAGAAGAAGTCTGGGTTATAAAAAAAAGGAAAATATAAGTTTAAAGGGGTCATATGATGCTTTTTAAAAGATCATTATTTTGTGTATTTGGTGTAGCAGAATATGTTGACATGCTTTAATGTTCAAAAAACACATTATTTTTCAAATACTGTACATTATTGTAGGTCCTCT